CTTTCTCCAAGGCAGGCACCCTAGGGGAAGCTCTATCTGCCCCATGCCAGGCAGGCTATCCAGTCGGATAGCACTGGGTAGTAAAACCCCTGGAGGAATTTCCCCAATTTACACTCAGCAAACCCTTTGTCCTGCAGGAGAAGGGGGAGAAGGGAGAAACAGTGGGAAGAATTAGACCCTTTTCCTTAAAAATCCCAGTCTGAACAAAGACCACGCTCTCAGCTCTTAGCTTTCTGCTGAGCAGCCTGCCAGGCCTGCCAGCTCTATTTTCTCCATTTAACCATGTAACCTTGCTTTCCCACAGCCTGAGTGACTGGGCGCTTTCTCTTTGTCCCTTCCATTCTGATGGATGCCCTACCCCAAGAAACTTTGCTACTTTGCTTACCACTGCAAAGAGAAAGAGAGAGAGAGAGAGAGAGAGAGAGAGAGAGAGTTTTTCCATTCACTGGTTCAATCCTTAGACAGCTGCAATGACCAGCACTGGACCTGGCCAGAGCCAGGAGCCAGGAGCTTCTTCCAGGTCTCCTACATGGGTGCAGGGACCAAAGCACTTGGGCTGTCTTCTGCTGCCTTTCCTAGGCCATCAGCAGGAAGCTGGATTGGAAGAGGAGCAGCTGGAAAGGAGCTGGTGCCCATATGTCCACTATTCCACACACTGGTCTCCAACCAGTGGTCTAAACAGACCATGGAGCACAGCTGGCAGTTCCACTTTACTCCAGAGTATGGACAACAGCCTTGTCCAATAAGGAACATGACAGAATCTATCTGTCTGGGGTTGCTAACAACTGGTCCAGCCAAAAACTGAGGCTAGATTAAATAGCAAAGGTCTACAAGTACCAAAGAGGACGAACAAAAGCTGGAATAAGTGGCTGTTTCCTTAAATGTGTAGGAGCTAATGTAAGAACCCAAGATTATGAAAATTCAGGGAAATATGATACCACCAAAGGATACTTAAGAAAGCTCCAATAATGGACCCTAAAGAAATGGATATATCTGTGAAATGACTGACAAATAATTTAGAATAATTCTTGTAAAGAAGTCCTGAGAACTATAAAATATGAATACGGGGCAAGCATTTGGCCTAGTGGTTAAAATGTCCACATTTGTTAACAGAGTGCCTGGGTTTGATGCTGAGTTCTGGCTCCTGATTCCTGCCTCCTGCCAATGCAGACCCTAGGAAGCAGCAGTGATAGCTCAAGTAAGTGGATTCCTGTGACTCACATGAGAGACCTGGATCGAGTTCCTGGTTCCCTGATTTGGCACTAGCTGGGGACTATTGTTGCTATTTGAGGAGCAAATCAGCAAATGTGAGATCTCTCTCACTCTTTCTCTCACTTTGCCTCACTCCATCAAATGAATGAATATATTACAAAATTTTTGAAAAGAAAATATAGATAGAAAATTAAATGAAATGTGGAAATTAATTCATGAACAAAATAAGTTTGTCAAAGAATTGGAAAGAATAAAATAGGAATCTATTAAAAAAGAATACCTGAAATATAAAAATTCAACAGAAAACTTCAATAGCTTCCAGCAGAAGAAATAATTAGTGAACTCAAAGATAGGCTATTTGAAGTTATCCCGTTATAGGAGCAAAAAGACTCACCAATGGAAAAGGACGAACAAGGCCCATGAGAATTAAGCATCATCATCAAGAGAACAAACTTTAAGTGCAGTTGGAGTTTATAAAGGAGAATAGAAAGGAAAGGACCTAGAAAGTATATTTAAGGAAATAATGGCTGAGAATTTCCAAAATCCGTGGAAAGATAAGAATATCTAGGTATAAGAAATTCAAAGGTATCCAGTCAAATTCAACTCAAAAAGAAGTTCAACAAAACACTGCATAATCAAGTGATAAAAAATCAAAGACAAAGGAACATAACAGTTAGCTAAGTGTCATCAATAGATGAATGGATAAAGAAAACATGGTTTACCCACAAATGTTACTCAGTCTTTTTTTTTTTTTTTTTTTTTGACAGGCAGAGTGGATAGTGAGAGAGAGTGACAGAGAGAAAGGTCTTCCTTTGCCGTTGGTTCACCCTCCAATGGCCGCCGCAGCTGGCGCGCTGTGGTCAGTGCACCGTGCTGATCAGATGGCAGGAGCCAGGTGCTTCTCCTGGTCTCCCATGGGGTGCAGGGCCCAAGCACTTGGGCCATCCTCCACTGCCCTCCCTGGCCACAGCAGAGAGCTGGCCTGGAAGGGGGGCAACTGGGACAGAAACCAATTCTGTCACTTGAGATGATATGAATGAATCTAGAGGACATTGTGCTAAGTGAGATAAACCAGACATAGAAAGACTGGGGCCAGTGCTGTGGCGGAGCAGGTAGAGCTGCCGCCTGCAATGCAGCATCCCATATGGGCACTGGTCTGAATCATGGCTGTTCCCCTTTAGATCCAGCTTCCTGCTGGTGGCCTGGGAAGGCAACAGAAGATGACCCAAGTGTTTGGGCTCCTGCACCCATGTGGGATTCTCAGATAAATCTCCTGGCTCCTGGCTTCGATCAGGCCCAGTTTGGCCATTATTGCCATGTCCGCCGTGAACCAGTGGATGGAAGAGTTCTCTCTCTCTCTTTCTCTCCCCTCTCTCTGTAACTCTGACTTTCAAATAAATATTTATTTTTTTAAAAAAAGAAAGATAAGGACCACATGACCTCCCTTATATGTGACATCTAAAGAAGTTTAATTCATAGATGTAGAGACTAGAGTGATGCTTACTAGACGCTTGGCAGAGAACACTTCAGAGAGAAAGAATGAGGAGTTGCTGGTTAAGGGGTACAAAGCAGCAACAGAAAGAACTATAACACATTCTATGGAGTGCTCGAATGACTATTGGTTAGTTTCTCAGCAGAAATAGTGTAAAATCTCCTCAGTATGGATTTGTTCAAAGAATTTTTTGGATATGATTTTGAAAGGTCAGGCAAGCAAAGCAAAATAAACCAATGGGATTGCATCAAGCTAAAAAGATTCTGCACAAAAAAGAGTAAATGACAAAGTAAATAGATAACATATAGAATGGGAAAGCATATTTGAAAATCATATACATGACGTTTAAAGAAGTCAAATGGCACAATAGCAATAAAACAAATAATCTCAGCCTCCCAAAATGAGCAAAGAACATGAACAGACAATATTCAAAAGAGGACATTAAATGATCAATAGGCTCATGAAAAAATGCTCAATATTCCCAATTTATTAGGGGAATGCAAATTGAAGCAACAAGACATCAACTCAAACTTGTTGTAATAGCTCTTATCACAAAGATGAAAGACAAATGTTGGTAAAGATGAGGAAAAAATGCATCAGTTATTACAGAAAATAGTATGACACTTTCTCAAAACCAAAAAATACAACTATCATATGATCTAGTGGTCAATTTCTGGGAATATATCTGAAGTTATCTAAATCAGTGTTTAGGAGACATTCACCCTCATGTTCATTGTAGCATTATTCACAATAGCCAAGATATAGAATCAATGTAATGTTGGTTTAATGGATACAGAAAATGTGGTTTATATACACATAATCAAATACTATTCAGCCTTAAAAAAAGAACAAAATTCTCTCACTTAGGACAACATGGATGAATCTAGAGGACATTATGCTAAATCAGATAAGACAGGCGCAGACAGACCAGTACCACATGATCTCACTTACATGTTGATTCTAAAAAAAAGTTGAAAACATCGAAGTAGAGACTAGAGTGATGATTACCAGAGGCTTGGCCGTTGAGGAGGGGAAAGGTGGAATGTGGAGTTGTTGGTCAAATGGTACGAAGTTTCGGCTGGACAGGAGGAATCTACTGCTGAGTAGAATGACTATATCAATAATAATGTGTTGTAAATTTGAAAGCAACTAAGATATAAATGGTGAAGTGTACCACCACAGAAATTGTTGAGCAAGTGAGTTGATGGCTATATTAATTAGCTTATATTAATCATTTTACATTGTGTACATATAGCAAAATAATGCATAAATATAATATAGTTATGATTTATCAATAAATAAATAATGACATCTAAGCAGGACAGGATTAATGAATTATAAGAACAGAGAAGACTCAATAGTCTATAAGTCCCCATGAAGTTGAGCAAAGAACCTATTTTATTCAATCAGTCAACAGCAAATATTTGTACCAGGCACTGTTTTAGGGTCTGGGAGTTTAGAAATTAAGAATATAGCTTTAAAAAATTCTCTGCCTTCATTGACCTTACATTCTACTTAGAAGAAAAATAGTGAAAAAAAAAATAAACCAAACAAAACAGATAAACAAAAATGTGGTGTACTGGGTGGTGATAAAAGCCAAGTGTGATGGTGGTGGGGACAGAGAAGGCTCACACAAGGAATGTATGCGCATGTTGCGTGTGTTGGGAATGAAGGTTGGTAGGATGGACTAAAACATAGGGAGAGTATTCTTGAAAAGCAGGTGGCAGGGAGGATTAGGGAGCATAGTAAAATCCTGATACGGGAATGGAGATGAGGTCTAGGAACGGAGTCCAGCATTTCAACAGGTTGATGTTGATGTCACAGGGCATGGGATGGAGAGGAAACAGGTTTCTGTTGTCAGTGCCACCAAGAACGAGAGCAATGAAGGGGAGCAGCATGGAGGCTGGGTGAAGAAAACAACATGGATCTGATACAGTAACAGAGGGGAGTGGCAAGCCGTTCAGAGGAGAGGTTTCTGAGTTTGTTTAAGAAAATAACAAAAGAACATAAAAGTAATTGTGGGAACCAAAACTACGGAACAGTAGATTTTAATTTTTTAATTTGTGAAATAGAAATAATTACAGCACTCCTTTTATCTCATTATTCAAATGAAATGATGTATAAAAAGTGTCTAATTTTTGTTTCGTCATACATGCAACGTTCAATATGATTATTCAATAGACATAGATCTTGGTGAAAGAAATGTCATCTTTTTCCCTAGTAAAATATATGCTGAGTTTAGAGAGAGCACATGGAAAATTTCCTTGTGAAAATTTGACCTTTATTTTGGCCTTACCTTACATGCATCTACTTTTCCTTCCATGAATCCAGCACATAACATCCCCGGGGTTATCAGGCCATCATACACGTCTTTTCTATTACACACATCAGTGCTTATGGTTTCCACCCTGGCTTGCCGAAGTTTATTTTGTGTAGGTCCTATTATAGAAACAAATAGTGTTTTTTTTTATTTTTTATTTATTTATTTTTTTTTGACAGGCAGAGTGGACAGTGAGAGAGAGAGACAGAGAGAAAGGTCTTCCTTTGCCGTTGGTTCACCCTCCAATGGCTGCTGCGGTCGGCGTGCTGCGGCCAGTGCACCGCGCTGATCCGATGGCAGGAGCCAGGAGCCAGGTGCTTTTCCTGGTCTCCCATGGGGTGCAGGGCCCAAGCACTTGGGCCATCCTCCACTGCCCTCCCTGGCCACAGCAGAGAGCTGGCCTGGAAGAGGGGCAACCGGGACAGAATCCGGCGCCCCAACCGGGACTAGAACCCGGTGTGCCGGCGCCGCTAGGCGGAGGATTAGCCTAGTGAGCCGCGGCGCTGGCCAACAAATAGTGTTTTTATGATGAAACTATATCTAAGACATGAAGGCGGGGCAAAAGCACACAATTATTTTATTGACAGAAATTATCACCTAATTTTACTTTCTGTATTGTTAAGTGTCTATATGGAAGGAATTAGCAATATACATGCCCCACGAATATATTTGTGTATCTTTCAAGGTACTCTGAAAACTATATGCAGAACTTTGTATCTATACCCATATCTATGTCTGTGTTTATTTTTCTTTTTTCTTTCTTTTTATATGAGAGGATAGTCCACGTTTTTCTGTACATTCTGAGAGGTTCATCATCCTGATCTTGCCCAAATGTCATAGTTTCCATATAAGGGAACCATGGCCATGGAAATCATTGACTTCCCTGAAGTTTTTCAAGTAGAAACCAGGACCCAGTTAAACAGGTATATTTGCTCTGCTCTGTTTGTAGTGTGTTGTTAGGGTGTTTTGTAATTTGGGAAACAAAATTGATGCCCCTTATGTGCAAGCAATCTGATGTCAGTACAAAAAGTTCTGGGGGTTAGGAGTGGGGGACATTACACCACTGAATACAGGAAGGGAAGTAGGTAAAAGTTATTGTTGAGGAGCCTTGAGCCAGCTAACAGCCACAAATAAAACAAAACTTCAGGGATTGCTCCCAAAGCCAAGTTGGATATGCTTGGAGAATTTGAAAAATTTTTCTCTACAATTGAATTCTGTTATTCTCACCTAAAAAGTGTTATATTAGATATATTAGCACTTGTTTTCTGTTTTTTTTTTTTTTCCCCGATATCTTTGATAAAATTTTAAGAGGGGCCAGTGTTGTGGCACAGTGGGCTAAGCCTCTGCCTGCTGTGCTGGCATCTCATGAGGGTGCCAGTTTGTGTTTTGGCAATTCCTCTTAAAATCGAGCTCTCTGCTATGGCCTGGGAAAGTAGTGGAAGATAGCCCAAGTCCTTGGGTGCCTATACCTGCATGGGAGACCCAAAGAGGCTCCTAGCTTCTGGCTTCAGATTGGCCAAACTCTGGCCACTGTGGCTATGTGGGGAATGAATCAGCAGATGGAAGGCCTTTCTCTCTGTCTCTTCCTCTCTCTGACTGTAACTCTACCTCTCAAATAAGCGAATAAAAATCTTTTTTAAAAAAAGAACCTTAAAAACCTTTTATTTTCTTTATAATATTTAATTATTAATAATTATATAATTTTCATTAACATAATTAATTTCTCTCTCTAGAACAGAGTGAACTAATACTTAGGAATCTTAATGTTCTGGCCTTAAATTTAGAAGATCCTTAGACTTAATAGTCTTTTAGCACTCCTAAGATGGTGGAACAGAGAAAAAATGCAGATTTTTTTAACTAAACAAGACAAAAATTCTCCAAAAAACTCAAAACCCAGTTTCATGTTTATGGCTATCATAGAGTCTCATCAAAATGAGGAAGGACTGAAATAAACGAAGGAAAAAGAAAGCTGTCAAATTAGGATGCAAGGTACGTGCTGATCAGAAGTCTTTATGTGCAGGAAGTATACAATTTTTAAATTTTAATTTTATTTAAGTCATACAGGTTTCATGTATCTCATACATACAGATTTAGGAACATAGTGACACTCCCCACCCTAACCTCCCTCCTGCCCACACTCCAACAATTCCTCCTCTGTCTCCCATTCCCACTCTTAATTTTTACAAAGATCTGTTTTCACTTTACTTACTGATTGTAAAGTTAACCCTGAACTAAGTAAAAGAGTTCAACAAACAGTGTGAAGAAAAAAACGCTGTTCCTCAACAGAAGAGACAAGGGTTGTAAACAATCAGCAAATCTCAAAACATTACATTTTAAGTACTCTATTAGTTACCTTGGACCAGGGAAAAGTTATGCTTTCTGTCTTTGTGGGGAAGCATACAATTGGTAATCAGGTACTGCCTTGCTGTCCCATAGTATCTAGGCCCTCTTCTTCCACCTAAAGTCTATTCTTTCCTCTGTTAGCCTCTTCCCTTTCTTACCACAGCTCCAAATGTGAACTCAAAAATTCAGACCTGATCCTTTACTTTTTAATATTCAACCCTCGATTCTGCCTGGGGCCACACATTTTGGAAGTGTCATCACTATTGTTATGAAACAACTGAAGAGGGATTCCCTAAGACAGTTGCTTGATTGCAAGACATTTTTGTGATAAGAAAATTATATTGAAACTACTCACCATCATCCACAATAGACCCAAATCCTGTGACAAATACACTTGTTTTAGGTGGCAGTTTTATAGATGAATCTGGGAGGCAAACTCTCTGGACTATATTTGAAAACTCAACTCTGGTAGTGAGCTGAGCCAAAGCAATGTCATTTTCATTCGTGTCTCTATGATAATTTTCATGAAGGATAATTTTCCCCAAGCTTCGTTTCACTGCAGGTGGTGTTATAGTTGTACCAAAAGTAGCAATCCATTGACTAGGGTCTTTATTTCTGCAAAAAATTAAAGGGAAAGATGAGTGATATTCAACTTTATCCTTTAAAAAATATGGAGACTTTATTTCTCCCCCACTATTGGAGTTATTTTCCTAAAACCTTTCTATGGTGAGAAAGTTTGCCATTGATGACTTATAGACAAAAAAAGACTTCTTATAATTAATCACTTAATTATGTACAACTAATTATATTGATTAACATTTTTAAAGATTTATTTATTTATTTGAAAGTCAGAGTTAGAGAGCGGAGAGGCAGAGACAGAGAGATAGAAAGAGAAAGAGCAGAGAGAGAGGTCTTCCATCTGCTGGTTCACTCCCCAATTGGCCACAACGGCTGGAGCTGTGCTAATCTGAAGCCAGGAGCCAGGAGCTTCTTCCAGGTCTCCCACGTGGGTGAAGGGCCCCAAGGACTTGGGCCATCCTCTACTGTCTTCCCAGGCCATAGCAGAGAGCTGGATCGGAAGTGGAGCAGCTGGGTCTCTAACTGTCACCCATACGGGATGCCCGTGCTTCAGGCCGGGGCATTAACCCACTGCACCACAGTGCCGGCCCCTTGATTAACATTTAATACTTAAATACTTTGCTTGCTAGGATTTTTTTTTGGTTCTTTTCTCTATTTTTAATAAACTGGGCAGAAAATTAATTTTGATCAGCTTCGGATAATATGCACACTAATATAAAATCCTCCATCCATTCTTATTTTATTGCTCGCTGGTTGGCTGTTTGCCTACTGGCTTTTACTGTGTTCTTTCATACAAAGTATAATTTGTCTGCTTTGCACACCTCATGGGTACCAGGGCTATATCTTCATCCTATGCCCATACTCCTCCCTGATTTTCAAGGGCCCAGCAGTTCTTACTTGATCATGCTGCTTTACCCTTTGTTCTGGCCTGATCAGTCCCTCTTATTGGACTGTGGTTCACTTTTTACATAGATGCAGGTTTTTTCCTGCAAGCTTCCATCACAAGCAAATTTGCTCTAGTCCTATCATCTCTTTACCTCCCTATTTCTTCTGTAAAGTCCAGTTCCCTCTTTTTATTAATTATCCTTGTTAAGGAAGATTGGACGTGAAATTCTCTGGGTGAGGGAAAATTTGGTAGAAGGAAATCACACACTAGATATTCAGAAAGGGGATTTCCTCTTTTATGAGGGATTACTAAATTAATGATTCATTAACTTTTAATTGAAATAAAAAACCTGAAAGATCAGTGGTTTTCAAAATACTCTGCACTGCCCTAGGGATGAGCAGAGAAAGCCCAGGGTGTGGAGTTGAGGAGGGAGGGAGAGGGTTTTTTTGCTCTCAATATGTTTTCCTCCTTTACATGTCAAAAAAAGATTTCAATCAAAGAAAAATCTTAGGACCAAAACATTAATAGGAGAACCAGGCACTGGTTACTACATAAAAGCATGAACACGCCTATGACCCCAGGCTTTAAGGCAATCACAAACTAATTGGGAAAACAAAATAGTTTTCCCATCCCTTCATGCACTGCTAATGAGAGAGAAAGCCTCACTTAATACACCCCATTCAACATGCTTTGTGGATAAGGACACGGAGACCCGGAAACTCAGTGACTTGTCCAGGCAAGTGATATACTCAGCCAGTTAGGGTCAAAAGGACATAGCCAATGTCTTCTGACATCCCGTTAAGAACTTTTTCCCTGCCCACACAAAGCTGCAGTCATTTTTCACGGACTTGCAGGTACTTAGATTTGTCTTGAACAAAATTAATAAACATACTATTTCCGCAGAAGAAAATACAGTTCCAAAAATGTAATGATTATTTTGTAGCTGCTATGCTGTCATTAAAATATGTTTTCTCTAAACAACAGTATTCTACATATAGTACGCAATTACATGAAAAATCACCCCCAAAACTGAACCCCCTTTCTCCACGATCAACACCTTAACCAACACTTTTGAACTATTATTGTCATCATAAAATATTCTATAATGCGTCTTCCATATTTTAGCAACTACTTCCTCTGACTACATTGCTGCCCTCTCTGCTCCCTTTCATTTACAAACTCTTTAAAAGAAGGGTGTAAATTTCCTGCCTCCAATCCTCCTTTCATTGTCTCTTGGATCCATTCCCATCACCATTGTACCAGCAAACACATTTTCCTTATCATGGCCACCAGTGATTCCTGATTAGCAAGCTGACTGGCCAGTTCCCAGGTGAATCCGTGAGTACACAGAGATTGCTTAGGACCTGTTGAAAGAAGTTCTCAATCACTAGAGCATGTATTCTGCACTAAATATAAATTTGGTATTCTGGTTTTATTTTTTAATTTGCCTAAAAAAAGACTAATTAGATATAAACTCTCATGGAAACAGAAGTGCACAGATAGGAAGACTTGTGTTAACATGAGGAAATGAGAAAGCCTTAACAAACGGGTGGGACCCAAGTTCACTTCCAAGAAATGATACTGGTTAGGTTGAGAGTCATGTTTGTATAAGTGAGGTCCTTTTCTCTTCTCTAGTGAGGGAGTGGCAGACAGTCATCTGAAATTTATTAAGTCATTCTAACTATAATTCTACAATAAAGAATGGTGTCAGTGTCATGGAACTATTTAGGGTGCTACCCTTAGAAGGATGATAAAGAGCATCCTAGACTGATTCAGGATAGTTCCTTTAGAAGGGTGTAAGAGTAGTGTCACGGGCCCAGCAAAGGGGCTTTATTCAGAAATATTGTCGTCTGAAAATCTGAAAGGAAGAGCTTTCTGTACAAGATGGTTAAGCTTCAAGAAATAAAGATGTGGCGTGCTTGATCTCCTGAGGCCACAGGAGCCTGTGTGTCTGTGTGTCTGAACTGACACAGCCAGCTTGTGAAAACTTTATGTATCTGTGTACTTTATTTGAAAGGCAGAGAGACAGAGATCTTCTCTCTGCTGGTTCACTCCTCAGATGCCTAGGACAGCTCAGCGTGGGGCCAGGCTGAACCCTGGAGCCAAAAACACAATCTGCATCTCCCACATGGGTGGCATGGACTCTATTTGGCCACCATCTGCTGCCTCCCAGGGTACACATTAGCAGGAAGTGAAATTGGAAGCAGAGCCTGGACTCAAACCAGGAACACTGAGGTGGGATACAGACACCCCAGGTGAATCTTTACTGCTCTGCCAAACACCCACTCCCAGCTGAGTTTGAAGAGCTACAACCACAAAAGCCCAAGCAGACAGCTCCTGCTGGGTTGTCCACGGCTAGTCTTTAATATTTCTTTTTTTTTTTTAATTTATTTAACAGGTAGAGTTACAGACAGTGAGAGAGAGAGACAGAGAAAAAGGTCTTCCTTCCGTTGGTTCACTCCCCAAATGGCCGCTAAGGCCGGCGCTGTGCCGATCTGAAGCCAGGAGCCAGGTGCATCTTCCTGGTCTCCCATGTGGGTGCAGGGGCCCAAGCACCTGGGCCATCCTCCACTGCCCTCCCGGGCCACAGCAGAGAGCTGGACTGGAAGAGGAGCAACCAGGACTAGAACCTGGTGCCCATATGGGATGCTGGCACTGCAGGCGGAGGATTAACCATTAACTAGGCGCCAGCCCCTAGTCTTTAATATTTCAAGGGCAGTAACACAAGATAGCAAGTCTCTCACACCTTCTACACAACATGCTGGACCATGCAAACCAGCAGAGACTGTTGGATGATGCAATGACAAAACAGTGTCCCAAAAGAGATAGCTATGATTTCTTTTTACTTATTCATAAAGTAAGAGTGGGTATCAATATTAGGAAATTAGAGGGATTAGTGAGGAAAAGAAGAATAAAGTGGATGATTTTCTCCTTGTGTGTGTGGAAGACATGAAACTTGTGACTAGGATGAAGAAAAAATGGAATTAAGAAATATATTTATTTTGGTGAAAAGTTTAAAATGCATAATTTGTTCATAAATCATATGTTCTATGAAGTTTTTGAAGTTCCCTTGTATAATGGCTACTCATTGCACAAAGACAATCTATGATACAGTAGGGGAGATAATCCTAAATCACAATGCTGCAGAGAACTACATGCTGTACAAACATAGCACCATGCATGCAGCAAGGAGCAAGCACAATGCATTGAGGTGACAGAGCAGAGTCTACCCTGAGTGGAGCTGAGGATAAGCTGGAGACAACTTGGAAAAGAAGGCTCACAGCTGGCCTGGTGCACTTACCTCCTGAAGCAGTGAGCTGCAGTCAGTAGCCACATGTTACTGATGAGGCTAGCTCCACACTGATGGCCTGCCCCCACGAGCTGCAGGCTGGCCTGCCAGGGCCACTCGCCATCCATAGCTGTCTCCCTGCCTTGGACAATCCTTTCTGTTGAAGAGGATGCTGGCAATGGCATGTTTGAGGATGTCGTCCTTATCCCACAGCCTGCCACAGAAATGCACGTTTATTTTTCAGGAAAAGGAGAGGAAAAAAGCATATCCTGATTCGCATTGGGTGGAGATGCTTAGAAAACCTGATGCCCCAGGTACTCTTTGATCCATTCCTACTACTTAGCCTTTGAGGTTATGTTATAGGGTTCCAAACTGATCCTACTGAAGTTCAGAAGAAATATTAGCTAACATTGCAAGGTATTCAGTCCAGGAATCAACTCCTGTCTCTCTATATTAAAACATACACAGTGGAGGCAGCCATTGTGTGTAGTGGATAAAGCTGTCGCCTGAAATGCCAACGTCCCATATGGGTGCTGATTTGTGTCCTGGCTTCACTTCAGATGCAGTTTCCTATTATGGTCTGGGAAAAACAACAGAAGAGGGTCTATAGAGAAGACTTGTGGCTTCTGCCTGGCCATTGAGTCCATCTGGGGAGTGAACCAGTGGGTGGAAGATATCTTTATTACTTATTTGTTTTGAAAGGCAGAGTTACAGAGAGAGAGAGAGTGAGAGACAGAAAGAGAGAGTTCTTCCATCCACTGGTTCACTCCCTAAATGGCCACAATGGCCAGGGATGGGCCAGGCTGAAGCTACGAGCAGGAACTTCTTCCAGGTCTCCCATGTGGGTGGCAGGAGCCCAACCACTTGAGCTGCTTTCCCAGGCTTATTAGCAGGGAGCTGGATCTGAAGTGGAGCAGCCAGGACTCAATCCGGCATCCATATGGGATCACAGCATTGCAGGCAGCAGCTCAACCTGCTGTGCCACAATGTGGACTCTAAACTAAATTTAAAAAAAAAATGTATAGTGGGGGCTGGCACTGTGGCACAGTGGGTTAGGCCATGGCCTGCAGCTTCAGCATCCCATGTAGGCACCAGTTTGAGTCCCAACTTCTTGCCACACCTCTTGCTCCCACTGCACTCCTTCTCTCAGAACGAATCCACCTCAACACTAGGCCATAGCAGAGAGCTAGATCAGAAGAGAAGCAGCTGTGACTGGAACTGGAGCCCATACGGGATGCCGGTGCTTCAGGCCAGGGTTTTAACTCACTGTGCCACAGCGCTGGCCCCAGAAGGACACCTTCTTACAAAAATATAAATTAATGGAAAAATATCCTGTAGGCAGCCATATAACCTTGTGGTTAAAATATCAGTTAAGATGCCTGCAATCCATGTTGGAGTACCTGAGTCTGATACTGGACTCTGGCTTTTAATTCTATCTTCCTGATAATACAGACTCTTGGAGGCAGTGGTAAAGACTCAAGAAACATGAGTAGGAGACATGGGTCATGTGCCATCTGCTGGCTTCAGCCTAGCCCAGCTCTGGCCATTGTGGTAATTTGGGGAGTGAAACAACAGATGCAAACTCTGTCTTCATCTCTCTGTCTCTCTGCCTGTCATATAAACAATTAAAAATATGACACATCTAACTGAGAAGTAATAATATTAAAAGAAACTTTTAAAAGCTTGGTAAATTGCATTGCTAACTTTTCTATGGCATTTTTTATTATATTTGCTGTGAAATAAACAGATAATTGTGGATTTTTGAACTTACGACTGTTGAGAAGATTTCTCATCTTTTTATTGTCAATAGCTGTAATAAATAAAACATGAATTAGTTGGTAAAAAGAATATATTCCCATTTCATGTTGTTTTGTTTAAATGGTCATTAACAGAAACAATTATTATCTGAAACATCCATATTTCAAAAGAGCACAAGATTTTTCATAACAAGTAACATACACAAGAGATCTCAATAAAGTACATGAAAACTATGAAAAAGGTATGAATAGTACTCAAACAGTACTTTATACTTTGTGTTTCTGTGTGGGTGCAAACTGTTGAAATCTTTACTTAGTATATACTAAATTGATCTTCTGAATATAAAGGTAATTGAAAATGAATCTTGATGTGAATGGGATGGGAGAGGGAATGGGAGATGGGATGGTTGAGGGTAGGAGGGAGGTTATGGGGAAAAAAGCCGCTATAATCCAAAAGTTGTACTTTGGAAATTTATATTTATTAAATAAAAGTTTAAAAAGTTTAAAAAAAGATCTGAATAGTTTTCAAAAGTTTTTTCACCGAAATAAACTTATCTTTTCATTTCATTCTTTTAAAAACTTTTTGAGGTACTTTCTTACATAACAATCTCTACTCTGATTTTGAGTACAAATGGCATAATTTCACTTTAAAATAAAATCAGAAGGCACTTTATTTTATGACTTTGCTTAAGAAACAGAAAAGGGCGGTGCCGCGGCTCACTAGGCTAATCCTCTGCCTTGCGGCACCAGCACACTGGGTTCTAGTCCTGGTCAGGGTGCTGGATTCTGTCCCGGTTGCCCCTTTTCCAGGCCAGCTCTCTGCTGTGGCCAGGGAGTGCAGTGTAGGATGGCCCAAGTGCTTGGGCCCTGCACCCCATGGGAGACCAGGATAAGTACCTGGCTCCTGCCATTGGATCGGTGCGGTGTGCGCCGGCCTCAGCGTGCTGGCCGCGGCGGCCGTTGGAGGGTGAACCAACGGCAAAAGGAAGACCTTTCTCTCTGTCTCTCTCTCTCACTGTCCACTTTGCCTGTCAAAAAAAAAAAAAAAAAGAAACAGAAAAAAAAAATTAGGAAACAAAGGATAAGGACAGCGTGATTCCTTTCTGTGGGGGCCCAAGTCTAACTTGAGGAAGCAATCTCCTCTTCCCATCCCAACTGGTGCTGATCAAACTTCTAGGTTTAGGCATATCACCACTGGCCAGTGTTGTTAGAGCAGTTCCAGGGAACTATTATGTAATAGACCCCCCCCCCAGGGCTTACAACACCCTGGTCTAACAAACAGTAGGAATTGAGTTAATGAGAGTTGTTGTGACATCAGTGACATCTTTTTCCCATCAAATATATCCATTTCTGCTCATTTTAAGTCAGCGACATTGAACTTTTGTAATGATTTGGTGATCAAAAATGGAGACTTATACAGTGATTTTCTCAAAAACATGGATTTCCCATTGTAGGGTTCCTGATTAGATCTGAAATGAAACTGATAATGACAGATTAAAGGAGAAAACATGCAAACTCATTTAATAAAAGCTTTTCATGACATGAGATCCTTCAGAAATGAAGACGCAAAGATCCAGGGAAAGCTGCTTGTGCCGAATGGACAGCTGTGTACTGCAGAAATATATCTGGACAAAAGAGTGTAATCTAGTGGTAACAGATTGAAGGGGGAGCCACAGCAAAGCCTGTCTGTTCAGATTCTTCTTGGTCTCGCTGTGTAGCATTTCTTCAGCCTGGATACATGGCAGGGCCCATTTGGAATGAGGGTCTTATGATCTACTATCAAACAAGGTAGGTCATAAAGTTTCTCTGAGGCCAGCTTCTACTCAGAAAGGCAGGGGAAGGTTGGAACAATATGTCTAAGTTTTATGGCTTACTTTGGGGAGGAAGAGTTCTAGTTACTGTAGCTCATTTTGGGGAAGAAGGGAAGCAGGGCAGGATAAAGTCAGAAATATCTTCTTCCAGGGCCCTTTCAATTTCTTTCAGTTCAAAGTCCTCAATGCACCAAGGCAGGACACTTTGGGGTATTGAGGCATTGTGTTGTAAACCCTGACATTGAAAAGAAGGATGTGATCTTCAATTTCTTCTAGAGGTTTCCTGGATATTTCTCTATTCAATGAAAGATGTGTGTGGCAAAAGAAAATACATGCAGTTGAATTTTGTTACGGAACATGGTCACAGAATGTAGTTATTTTGGTTTAAAAACAATATAATAAAAATCACTGTGCATGTCCAACAAGGCAAAAGATATTTTTTAAATTTATATGTATATATGGTAAATGTAATATTTCAATATATGTGTACAAAGCTGTTTTCATAAAGGAACAAAGAAGACTTACGTGTGAGGCTAAAAGATGGTTTATTTATAGTCAACGGCAACTGTTTGATCTTCAGATTTTGATGTAAAATCCTTTCAATCTTTTTTTTGACTCTCTCAGCACTATCAGTAGATGGATAGCGAAACATGAGCACCATGAGAACGTTCACACCTTGTTCATCTGGACTGAAGAGCAAGAAGGCAGTGAGTAAGGCCATGTCTCCAACATGAACCACTTTGTATCTATTAGGACTCATACTGAATTTAAAGAAACATGATGGATAGTTTAGGTAAAACCATCTTTTTAAGTTATCTCTAGATCAGAGAATAAGAGTGGCTTTATGATGATTAGACTGATGTCAGCATTGTAGAAGACACAAAGGGCAAGCATCTGAGAAGTACTGTATATGGGGGCCTATGTTGTGCCATAGTGGGTGAAGTTGTAGCTTTGGATGTCAGCATCCCATATTGGCATGGGTTTGTGTCCTGGCTGTTAAACTTCCAATCCAGCTCCCTGCTAATGCCTGGGAAAAGCAACAGAAGATGGACCAAGTACTTGGGTCCCTGTCACACCCTGTGGGGGAGACCCAGATGAAACTCCTGTTTCCTGGCTTTGGCCTGACTCAGCCCTGAACGCATGGCCACTGCCTGGAAAGTGAACCAGTGGATGCGGGAGATCTCTCTCTCTCTCTCTGAGTCTTTAAAGTAAATAAATAAATCTTTCTTATAATTTAGAGAAAAAAGAACTATGGTATATGATATTTACCTAGAAGGTTGCTCTTATTTAGCTGTTTATTGGGATTTTGGGGAGGAGATATTCATAAAATCAGCTATGTATGAATTTATAAGATTTTCTTTTTAAGGCGTTTCCTGCAAAATTGGTAACCATGGTTATTATTGTTCAGAGCAGTATGGCAGAGACCGTGACTTTGTTTACTAAACTCATGTGCTTTGCTTCCTGAGCACAGAGCTGGATTTCATCACTTAGTCTCTCTTGAAATTATTAAAATTCCTTAATGAATTCCAGCCAAAGGAATGTGTGCACTATGCTGTCCTCCACTTGCAGGCCTGGCTCCTGAGAAACCTCCCACACTGCTTTCTTCCCTTTGCTCTTCCTTTGTCTGCAACCGGATGCAGAAGATCCCATGGGCAGTTCTCCACAGTCCCCACCACTGCCCACTCCTTGCCCACTTTTGACTCTTTGGCCTCTATGGTGAGAATAAAATGAACCTTGAGTGTATCAAATCACTGAAGTTTCAGGGTTTGCTTATGAGTTAATCAATGAATGATTGGAGAAACTCTTATAAAAGGAAATCATTTGATAATTGTTTCAAATGTAAAGTTTACAATGTGATATTAGGGCTAGAAAGCCTTTGGTGTCCTTTTGGGATCACTGAACTTAAATTTACATATAAAGGAAAAGAAGAAAAGAAAGACATGAAAGAGAGAGAGTGATGGCAGGAAAAAGGGAAAAGGAAGAAAAGTAAAGAAGGAATGAAGGAAGAAAGGACAAGAAGGAAAATCAGATGTGCATTTTCTTTACTATCAAGACGTGAAACAAACATTACAAATATATGCATTATCACTGTGAAATCTAAGTCTTTTAGACCTCACATAAAAACATATTTAAGATGGATTGTAGTAATTTAGTCTCTGATAATAATCCCCTATTTAATTTATGTATATTGTTTTTCACCAAAGCATGCAAATAAGAAGACATTTAGAAAGAGCAATAAAAATGTACTGGCATTAAAGGAAAACCTTATTGCAGAGAAAGTTATAGTCCAATGGTTAATAGGATTAAAGTGAAGAAAATAAAATGACCAATTTTCCTCCAGCCGAAGGGGCAGAGATGTGTTAGCAGTATCATCCCTTCTCTTCATATTTTTCCTAGTTTTTTTCTCCCTAGTAATTGGGACATTTCTGTTGTAGGGCCCTTTACATTTCCCATAGTGCCTGGGAAATAAGTAGCATGGCCTGGGCTACCCGACATTTATGAAACCTTTATGTGGCTGCAAAGATGTGTTCAGAGCAGCTGAGCAATCATGCTAAAATATTCCATCTTAATAGCAGAGGGGTGAAGCTACAAATCAATGTACATACCTTAATTTAATAACATGTGATTTGATGAATCGTCCTCCTCCAGAAGAACGTCTAAATATCCTAGATATCTGGTTACAAAAACAAACAAACAAAAAGGAAAAATATTTTTATATTAGCTAATATTTTATATTAGCTTTATTTTTATTATTAGCTTTAAGAAAAATGATATTTCTTGTCTTATGTAGAGATTTGAGGCAAAATCAAAATTTTAGTTCATTCAAGTGGTTTATTTGCAATGGTAACACTAAATCTGAGTTCTAATCCTGAAAAACTTTAACAAAATTATACAACTTGACAATTCTCTGTAGCTTGGCATGGCAACTGTTGGAAATAAAATATAATTACACATTTCACACCTTGTCTGGTATCTAGTAAATTATTGACAGTGTTAGTTTTCATTATTACATCATTTAAAATATGTGCTGTTTTATAAGGCAGCATCCTGGTTTCTAAGATGGCTTACCCTGTTTGCTGCACTCATTCCCCAGTATAGCATCAAGTCCACTACTGATACCAATCAGTTGATTTCTGAAATTATTCTGTGATTACTAGGCCATTTGACATAACTTGAGATATCTGTCATGTGTCTCCTACACCCTCACTTGTTAGTCATCTCTATGCAACATGCAGGGTTTCACAACCAGTACTGGGGCTGGGAATCACTACACTCCATACCATTAGCATTGCATGACTCAGCTGTTCCAATCTGAGCCACTGAAGGATTTAGAATGTTCAATGAGCTGATTTCTTAAAGAATTCTGATTCCCAAAAGGGAACCCAATCAACTGATGAGGCATTGCCTCTGTTCAATGAGAAATACAAACAAAAATAGATGAACATTAATATTTGATAGAAGAATGTACCAGTTTCCTGGAAGAAGAAAGAGACTCAAGATAAGGAAGACTAAAGAACATTACAGCAGAGAGAATCAAATTTACATTTTTAGTCAAATATTGGGCTGAGAATCAGAAGTCAGAAACTTCAGATCCATGAAAGCTTACATAAAATCCATTGCCAAGGTTAAGTCTTGCCTCTCCCAATTACTATATCTTCTGGGAAGAGAAAATATGGTCTCCCTTCTCTGCCATATTCCCCCATTTCTCTGAATCCGCTAAACTAGAAATAATGCCTGGCAGATTTTACTTTGTGAATGCTTGATCCCCTTCCTTTGCTACAAATATACAGTTAGGGACCAAAATCAGTTCCTTTAAAACTTGTGTCTAGGCATCTGCAGTAGTCTCCTCACTGTCATGGTTATGTGGTCCCACTTCTTTCTCCCCTTGAATGCCAGCAACAAAGATATTGCATCTAGAGTACACACCTAAATGTATTATACTTCTGCTTCAAGTCCAAGATTTCTCTCAGTGTGGGCACCACTATCTCACCCCTTCATTGGCTCAAATCTTGCCGTGCCCAACCTTCAAAGCTTCTTTTTTTAAATTTCTTTCTTTAAAAATTTACTATGTTCATTTTACAAAAGTTCATATGGCAATACCTAAGGGACAGTACATACCTAATACCTAAGATTAAGTACATCAACAGAGAAGCACAAATAAAACCAGATGAATGATAACATTTAATAGGAGAACAAGCCATTTCCTGGAAGAAGGAAGCTCCTAAATATAAGAAAGATTAAAGAACATTTACAGCACAGAACATCAGATAATATATTTAGAAACCAGAATGGAGTTAACAGAAAATCTTACTTAACATTGTGGCTCTTTTCTTGATTCCCATTAGAATAGTACAATTTGTCAAATAAACAAGAAAACATCGATGCTATCCCTTCTACTCACAGTGGAAGGTGAAACCATTGTCCAAACAATAAGGTCACCTTCATGCATATTAGATGGAATATAATTAGCATTTCTACCTTGTCGGCTGGTGATAATTCAGAAATTTCAGCTGTAGTCATTGAAAATTCTAAAAATTCCTGCTAATGGGACAATAGCAGCACCAGTTAAAGCCATTCCACGATAGAAAATTATTTCATTGCCAAAAAATCTCCAATTGTGGCCACTGCATACTGCTTGTTTTCTTCCCAATTGGATGGTCTGAATCACTGGTCTGGCAAAAGCACACCATTGGCACTTCTTCTCAGGATAGGTGGATCCCTTGGAGTAGGTAAGTTCTCTTCATGCCCCTTTAGCCCAGCTGGAACCCGAGCCTGCTCTCCAATGCTACTCCTGCTTGTCCTCAAGATATACACCAAATAGAAAAGGACATGAAAGAAGCCACAACCTATCAATGCAGACCACAGACCTGTTATCCCAAGTTCAGCAGGAAACATCAGATATACTTCCATGGGAAAGCCAAACATATTAACAACCAATTGTATTCAAGACAGCACCAATCTTTTGTCTCTCTATACCTCTCAGGATTCCATCACAGGTGCCCACAGATGCACCAGATAGATAGAAGGAGCCAAGTAGGTACCACTTGGCTCACAAAGAGAATATCTTTGTCACTGGGGAATACAGAGGGAAGCAGGTCCTTCAAAGCTGCAAGTAAAACACCAGTGCAAGGGCACACACTGGCCCACAGGAGAATGCTGCTGTGGGGTCATTGAGCTTGGTCAGCATTCCCTGCCCACAGAGCCTTTCCCATTTGGACACTGGTTGTCACACCAAAACTAAGGGACCATGTGGACCACACAGGTCAGTTTATACATGATGGCCTGTGTTCAATAGCAAAGTTCTTATCTCAAACGTCAATGTACACCATGAACATGCTGGGAGTGGCCAGTGGAGTTGGAACTCCACTACTGGAGCCTATACCTTTAGGCTCCAAATTTCCCAGGTTTCCATGTGCATTTTTTCCCCACTACACATCCAGGAAGAGAAGAGCAGACAGGAAGAACGGGGAAGTGGTGTTGGCCCAGGAAGAACCTACCACTTCAATGTAGCCCAGGGACATACAGTGAGAGTGTATTCATGCCCACATGGATGACATTTACTGTAATCCCAGCCATGATGAGGCCCAGGTCTTCACCTGGGGCTAGAAGAGCAGGAATAAAATCATCACATAAATTTTAGCTGTCCATGTGATTTCAGAGTTGTGCTTGTAGAACAGGAGAATGTGTTCTATACTGATGAAGATGACCAGCAAGGAAAGCAATACAGCTTCAAGATGAAGACTTCCATTTGAAGTATAGAGGTGTGGGAGAGCAAGGGGTGTGTCTGGTTCATCCTTAGACCTCCAGTGCTGGTCATCTGGAGGGTGCTGGAGGATCAGGTGATCAGATATTTAGTAGAGATTCTGGCTAACTTGACTTTGCAGGGTTTGTTGCTAAAACTGAATTTTACAAGAAAATGCACAGAATATTATGAATCCTAACTAGAGTTTACTAAGAAGCTTTGTCAGTGGGTAGGAAGGTTCTGGGGAAATAAGCCTTAAAAACAGGCCACAAATCCAGTTTTTCATCCATAAAGCTAAGCCTTACAAAAGAGAACCTCTTGAGAGATTGCCTTTGTTACTTCTAAAGTTAACAGACTAAAGGAACTTTTCCTCTACAGGTAACTATTATTATAATATCATTTTCAGAAAAGTTTAATTAGTTTTTATATTTTTTCTTCCAGGAACTCAGTAACATGATAGTCTAAACTATTAATTGTAGCTTTGCCTTTTAATCATCAAAACCTAAACTAAGTCATTTTATCAACAACTATTCCATTTGAAATAAGATAGTCTCTAAGATTCTAAGTCTATTTCATTTTTTTTTTAAAAAGACAGTCTTTTACTGAGGGTAAAATGGGGGAAAAGTTCACCTTAAAATCAGAGACCAACTGGAGACCTTGGTTTGAACTCCAGCATTACAAAATGACAAAACATATCTAAAGCATCAACTGTGACTCTTTCTAAATGGCCTGGGGCTCATCCAATGATTGTCTTTGGCAAGTTTGAACTCACAACTTTCATCAGGCTAGGACTGAATGCAAATTAAGTACTCAGGAAAGACCAAAAGTTACTGATGCTAGCCAGGAAATTCCTCTGAGGTCCATTCATGAAATTAAGTCAGGCAAATTCTGCGAATTTCCTTTCCAGTCAGTCAGGGGAATATGTACCAGTAGAGACCAAAAACACCAGCAAACTGATTCCATTTCCCTTTCTGTTCTAAGAAAATCTGCTAACTCAAAGAGATTTTCCTTCCTCTGAACTTCTAAAATAATGATCACTCAAGTCATACATTTTGACAATTGTATGCTGCACTGTGGCATGTCTTATTTACCACTTTGTTATCTAAATTTTTATATTCTTTTTCATGTGTAAATTTCCATACGTAAACCATCTTATAAAATCCTTTAAGAAGGGACTATCTTTTCCTAACTTTGGTTTTATCACTTTGCACAGGTAGGTGTACAACTTTCATTAATAGTTGATTCCCCAGCTATGATTAATCTTAACCAAGAGTATGAAGACGAAAAATGCTTACTTTTGTTCTCCTTCCTAAGTCTTTCAATAAACTCTATCTCCTTCCTTTTTTGTCATTTATTTATTCATTCAATACAATCAATTAGGGATCTCCTATGTTTGAAACACTATAACAGTAGCATAAAGCATTGTGAACACAAAGATATAGGCTTAAGATTCATAGCATAGACAGATATACAAAAAGACAGTCATTACGAATGCAGTTAATATAGCGAAATAACAGTGAAAAAAATGCCTGGGGGACTATAATAGAGGAGGGTTATAAGTGATGTTTAAGTGACAACTATAAGATGAGAAGGACTCAGAACAAAAGAATAGGGTCACGAGGTAATCTTCCAGGTGGAGGAAACAGATTGTGCAAAGAATCCAAAAGAAGGTCAACGAGGTAGTACATGTGAGCAATGAGGAAAGTGCAGATGTGGGAGGAGTCAGACCAAAGCCTGCAGGTGCATGGAGATTTTGCTGAGGAGACTGGATTTTTTTCAGACTACATTTGGAAGCCATTTGTGAAATGTGGTGTACATTAAAAGATAATAGAATACGAAGCAGAAACAGTGATAACTTTGAGTTACCTCTTTGAAGGATGATATCAGCTAGGTTTGTATAGGATGGGATGGATATAATGATTTGGCAGTAG